GATGGAAATGCTTTCAAAACTATAACTGCATTTCTTTGCCTGTGTGATGTGTACTGTACTGTTACATAGATAAATTGATGTGTTACTTGAGGGCACTGAAAAATGCTGTCAGAGTTCATGCAGTATGGTGACTTAATTTTTCCAAGGTTTACTAATATGAATAGGTTGAAGATATTGAAATGGTAGTCTCAAACAGGATGATGGAATATAAATAACAAAAGTTTTAGTTATATTATGTTACACATTAAATATCTGAATTTCTTCTCTCTAAATATAGTAATGGACAAAACTAAAGAAAACCAGAATGGACATCCACATAACAGCAAGGTAAAGTGACTTCTTGCATTTATTGGCTACATTGTAAGTTTGGCCTTTTTTAGGTGTTGCAGTTCTTGACTATTCAGCATGTAATGATCACAGGATGTAAATGAATAATGACTCCTTAGAACATGTCCTACATTTTAAGACTTGGTTCAGATGCTTTCTTTTGTATGCTACTAAACTCTTATTAATCTAAATAAAAATAATTGGGATCATAGATTGGAATGCACATGCTGATATGTAAAATATTGTTCCTAAGTTATATCCAGAGTTTTATTCATGTTTTAGTCTGATAATGGAATTTAAGTTCCCAGTAGAGAAGATTCATCTTTTCACATAACTGTCCATTACACACATCACTAAGGTTCCCTTTGCCCCTGTTCAAAATAGATTGAGGATGGAGTTGGAGAGGAGTTATTTCAGAATAGATGAATCATTGGCTTCATAGTTATGCCCAACAGATTACAGCTCAAATTGATTAACCAATTATATGCAGAAACTAATATGTCTTGATTGCTGTACTCAATATGCAGTTTGTTGGTCTCTTTCAATCCAATATTCTATTGATAGTAAAAAGTTAAGATTGGTAGATTAATTGGTGTTTATGCATCCTAGAATTTGTTAGTTACTGATAATCTCTTTCCTTCAGTTCCACTCCAAGGAATAAGTTGATGAAGCAGGAAAAGACTTTAGACCAGTGTTTCTCACCCTTGTCAACTTTAAGATGTGTGGATTTCAACTCCCAGAATTCCCCAGCCACCATGGCTGGCTGGGGAATTCTGGGAATTGAAGTCACACATCTTAAAGTTGACAAGGGTGAGAAACACTGCTTTAGACTGTCAGTTGTTGTGGGAGACAAAGTTGGGTGACTGCAAAGATGTGAAGGTGCTGGTTCCTCCTCTAGAAATCTGATTTGAAGGAGGAAGATAGTAAACTTGCAATTTTAAACTCTGAATTTCCAAATATTATAGAACACCAATAAAACACCAGTGGTCTTATTTCAAAAGAAACAATCTTAGGAAACTTTGGCAACTTTTTTTTCCCCTGAAGTGCCTGAAACAGCGTTCACAGTTGTGTTTGTTTTTAAATCAGATAGCTGTTGTAGATGGTCCAAAGCGGGTTCCTGTGACCCAGAATCGAACCCCGGGGATTGGAATTCAGTCACAGCGTGTTCTGATGGCTTCAAATGTTCCCCAGAGAGTGCCTATTCAGTCCCAGGCACAGAAACCTGTTACCCATCCAAAACGTCCCAACCACTTGACTCAGCAACGACCAACTTCTGCAGTTCAACCAACATCTAGGAATTTAGGTCCAAATAAATCCAGTGAAATCTCTCAGCACCCCTCTGCACCTGGTAAGTACTGCTGTTTCAGCTATTTCTAACTTCATAGAAAATCTATTGGTGATTATGATATACACTAAAAAGCAAAAAAAGACAAGCTTTAAAATAGTATTGGAAAATATGGTGAATTGCCATAGTGGAAATCTTCTACAAGAACATGACTAGTTCATAAATGTTGGTAAAGAAATATTTAGAACTGCTGAGTGTGGTGTGAACTTTTTATAAATGCTTGACCATGAAATGCTCTAAGTAGTCTTAAAACAAGTTGCACTCTCTTTACTAAATATTTGTGAGAAGAGAAATAAGAATACAGTAAATGGTGCTGTCTCAGTAATGTTGTATCTGCTCAAATTGCAATATTGATTCATTTCTAAATGTGGACATTTATTTGTCTTTGTAAAATCATTACAGTTGTAAGGTTCTTAAGACTGCATGAATCATAAATGCAATTCCATGAGAGATCTTTATATACAAAGTGAATGGAAGCTTAAAGCTGACTCCTTGGATTACTTAGTACAGGAATCAATGTTCCTCCAGCTGGGGTACTGAAAACTTCTACCATGTCACTAAATTTTGGCTGAGAGCATGTTTGAAATTGGCAGTTTCTCATTTAGAGGCAGAAAACAATAAAAACTCTTATGCTATAATAGCCATAAATATTAAAAGGGAAACAAACTTATCCAGAAAAAAGTAAGAAAGCCTCAGATCCATCCGTATGTGATACAATCCTGCCCATTCTTCCTCATCCCATGTTAGCCTTTGGACGCACATAGATTGCCCATCCTTGATTTAATGCATGGGGTGCTATGTTCTAAATATAGAGTACTTTCTAGAGAATACTTTCTTCCTTCATATAGCTATAGTAGATGGAGTATCTTAAGTATGAGTGGTGGGCTAGCCAGAGCCCCTTAATTCCAGGTAATGGTGCATCCACTGAGGACTATTTTGTTTGTGGCACTACAGAATTTCTAAAGATAGAATACAGATAAATTGAAATTGCCATGCAGGAATGTTAATTTAACAGTGTTCATCCTTAGATAAAGGTATACAGCCAGTCCTTGCAAATGGTCACTAACTGCTACCTCAGTTAGTGACTGTTTGCCAATACAATGTTGAAAAAAACAGTAGTAAATGGTAGTAAAAAAAAAAATTCAACAAATGTGCACACTTAGACCAAATTTCTGTGCCTGACAACAATGCATGCTGGAGTGAGAGTAACACTGGGTTGGTGCATGAGAGAACTTTATCTGAATGAGATGGTAACAACCAGTGATCTTCACAGTCTCTGTCACGTGGTTTGCTTAGCGACCATGTTGCTGGAAAAGGATTGCGGTGGCTAAATGCAGATAGACTATACATCTTTAACTTCTGCATCATCTATAAAGTGTATGCTTTTCCAAACATGCTATGGAGAGGAACAATTTAAAGCACAATTTGCTTAAATTTTTACGGCTAAGCTTGATTTAGGGAATTTAACTTTCTTATGTGCAGGGAAAAAGCCTGAAAATGAAGATGTATCAAATCCAACAACTGAGGCCAAAGGAGTCTCAAATTCTAAAAATGAAAGCAAAGGGGGATCAAAAAGTGAAACCAAAAAGTAAGTTCTTATTTTGTTTCTGTGGGTGCATATGTACAAAGATATGTACGCTTATTGAGAGGTTCAGATGGACCCAAGCCTGTTAGCCTTTTGTAAAGCATTGAAGACCTGGCTGTTTCCCCAGGCATTTGGGTCAGCTGGTCAGATGAACTCTGTTATTGTCAATGCTTTTTCTTCCTTGTGAGTGTGATTATTATCCTTGGGTATCCACAATTATATGTTGTGGGTTTTTTTAATGTGTGTTATGTTTCAAGGTCACAATGTCTTGCACACCTATATTTAAGTGGTAGGCATTTATGTAAATACAATCTTACTGAGAAAGGTCTTCAAAGAGATTCTCTCCTGGCCACAAGGAAACAAGCATTTTCCTCTACATTACTCAAAGGAAACAAATAGTGCTTTTACCTATCCCACTGTGCTTCTAGCCTACCCCCACAAAACATTTTTCTTTGTAAGAAAGATTTCCTGGACAAATTGTTAATTTTGGAGAGAGAACAAAATGTTAATATTCTAACTAAATACTTTTTTTAAATAGAAAACAGTGGTCCCTTGATGACTTTGAAATTGGCCGTCCTTTGGGAAAAGGAAAATTTGGAAATGTGTACTTGGCTCGTGAGAAAGAGAGCAAATTCATTTTGGCACTGAAGGTCTTGTTTAAAACACAGTTGGAAAAAGCAGGTGTAGAACATCAGCTGCGGCGAGAAGTAGAAATACAGTCTCATCTTCGGTAAGGCTGAATACAAATAAGTGTTGAAATTCAATATAAAGCCTCATTGTTACAATTAAAGAAGTGTCAACTTGTCCTCAACATTTTCTTATGGCTAACAGCCTATAATGAACTCCTCATCCCTTATTCAAAGGGGTTAAAGACTGGGAGGGGAGCTACTTTTTAATGTTGGTGTTCCCAGTTCTGTCTTCATCAGAGAAGGTTTTTTTTTTTTTCAGCCTTTAAAGTGGAGATAGTGGAGGCCCCATCTTTAAGAAGGTATTCCTGGATCCATCAGTTTTAGAGAACTATTATTCAATCTCCAACCTTCCTTTCTGGGGAAGGTTGTTGAGAAAGTAGCATGTTAGTGGCTACAGAACACCCTTGATGAAATGGATGATTTAGACCCATTTCAGTCTGGGTTCAGACCAGGGGACTGAAATGGCACTTGTTCTGGTAGATTACCTCTCAGCAGCCTCTGAAACCATAAATTATGGTACTCTACTGGACTGCCTACAACAATTGAGAATTAGGGGATGCAGTGCTACCCTGAGCATGTGGTACCAGTCAGTGGCAGCAGAGTAGAAGAGGTCAGCTCAGTGGCTCTAGCTTGAAAGATCTGTCAGTTTAGGTGAGCTACTATCAGTATGCTAATGATTCTCAGCTAAATGTTTCTCTGAACTTGTGTTTGGAGGCTGCAGTTTTGGATGGAATAAAACAAGATGAAATTAAATCCAAGCAAGATACAGTTGCTATTTGAACAGAAGGAATCTCTGTTGTCTCTGGTGATAATTTTTGAAGGGTGGCCTGTTCCCTGAGATATCATGTCCATGATTTGGAGGCCTTCCTAGACCCACAGCTACTAAAGTAACCTACAATAGCTACAGCACTACCTCTTTAGATTATTGTCTATGAGACTGTTAATAAACCAGAGTCTCTATAGCCACATAACATGTTTTATGGATGCTATATTGGCTACCTTTAAATTTCCAGGTCTTTTTCAAAGTGCTAGTTTTGACCTATAAAGCCTTGTATGACTTGATGAAGAGGTATTTACAGGACTGCCTTCTCACCATAGGTCTGTGTGGACCTCCTGCCAGTATCTTTTAATGGTCCTCCGTGCAAGGGGAGGTGAAGTGGGCTGGGGTTCATGGGCAATATTTTCTTACTGCAGCCACCATACTATGGAACAACCTGCCTTTTGAGATTGGATTGGCACCTTCATTGTTGGCCTGTCAGAAACTGCTAAAGACAGTTCTGGAGGAGTTTTGGGGAGTGAATGGTCATTGTTGTGCCTACTGCTTTTATGGTTATTTGTGTTTGATTGCCTTTAATGTTATGTTTTTGCAGCGTAAACCTCTGGGAGTCATTTTTTGAATTCAGCAGTACATAAACAATAAACAAATATATTGTTTTATTACAAATGCCCCATAAACTTAATTAGAAAGAAAGGTGTGGCTGCAACCCAAGGTCTATTTGTCTGAGAAAGGGGCAAAGATAAGGGCAGGAGGGAACATTCTGTGGTATGGAGGGCTTACATTATTTGCAAGTGAATGGCGAGTTTGAGAAGTCATGGTAGCTGTTTTATGAAAGGGCAAGCTTTCCCTTCCTTCTGCAGAATACCTCAATGTGTTCTCAAAATTCCTAATGTGTCAACCAACTAGAAAAGTTGGGGATCAAGTAGATATTGACAATGCTTATATTCAGCTAGATGTATTCTGCATATATGTAAAGATTTATCAGAACAGTTATTTAATGAAAGGTCATTGGGCATGATTTATAGAGGCTTTTTTCCCAAATCACTTTAAGTCTTTGTTCAGTATTGGTGCATGAATGTAATTTCAGATATTTTCTACATGACACAGTAATTCTAGAAACCTAAATTATTTGGACTACAAGTACTGCTTCATCAAGTTTAATGTTCACTTTAAAAGAGCTTGTAGTGCTTCTTCACTTCCCAATTAGTTATCAAATGACAGAACTATATCCAGTGATTATTTTTTGAAAAGTGTGTTGTGAAGTTTTAAGCCACAGTTCTAAATTTATGAGCTGGTCTGCTATGAGAAGGAAATAAATTTTTACTCCATTGCTATATGCAAGCCTTACGTATAGTGTAAGATAAGTGTTTTCTTTAGTATTTCTGCACAGCATAGATTTCTGAGGAAATAAATGCCTGCCTTGGATTGTACATAACTATCTTAAAGGGGTACTCACTTTGCATAAAGTATGAAACTTCTCAGTACTATAAGAACTCTGTAGATTTGTCTTGACTCTTCTAAACAATCAATACTAAGAATTGAAACTTGGTCTATTGGGCAACAGTAGATTGAATTACCAACTAAGTGGCTCCACATTGTTATAGAATATATTCTCTCTGTTATATATTTCTCAGATGAATAAGGATATATGAGTAGGAACCTGTGGCTTCCATTACACTACTATTCTCTGTAAAATGAGCCCTGTGAATAGTTTAAATTTAACTTAATTGCCAAGTGATGTAAGCTATTCTAAACAACTCAATTCTCATAGGAGTTTAAAGTTCTTGGAATTGTCAATAGCTATTAACTAGCTATTGGTGCTGTTTAACTGGAACAGGTTTGGGTTTAGACTGAAATTGCAGTTGAATTGGATGTTATAGAAGAATAAACTATTTTTTTTTACCTCAGGAAGTTATTACAGGTAGTCGTCATTTAGCGACCACAATTGGGACCAGCAACTTGGTGGTTAAGTGAAGCTGTCACTAAGTGAAACTGCAACTGTGCTTACAATCTTACTTCAGTTTTCCTTTGCTTTACAGACCTGCAAAGGTCGTAAATGCGAGGGCTGGTCTCAAAGTTACTTTTATATCACTGTCATAACCGCAAACAGTTGTTAAATAAGTCAGTCACTAAATGAGCACTAGCTATACATAGAATAGGTGGGTAGCCTGTAGGCCATATATGCCTCTCAGCAAGCCAGGATTGCAATGCTGAAATAGGATGGTAAAAGGGTAAAAATTCAATAGTACGATTATTATTGTTCGCAATTCAGGGTACAAATGAGAGCTGGAGACCTCTGGGAATTCTTTCTTTTACACATACAGAGATGGTTTTGGGGGGGGTGTTTGATCCATTTATCAGGTTTTGAGGGTGGTAATGAAAACTAAAGACCTTTAGGAGGCAAACTGCTCTCATTCCTAAATCACCCCAAAAGCTCTAAATCACCCTGAAAAATGGCTATTTCTGCCCAATGGGGAGGTGATGAGAGTAATTTGTTTGTCAGGCTTCCTGCTTCTATTATTGCTGAAACCTTCTCAAAGAGCTGAAAACGTAATCCAACTTTTTCTGGTGACATACCATTGAACAGATTGCTTGGCTCCAGCCTCTCAATGTTGTTTATCCCTTGTATATAACAGGGAGGGCAATATAGAGATAGGTATTTAGTTTATTAATAGCAATGGTCTTGTTTAAAAATTCATATATGCTGCTTTTGTAGGCACCCCAATATTCTCCGGCTGTATGGTTACTTCCATGATGCAACAAGAGTGTATTTAATCCTGGAACACGCACCTCGTGGAGAAGTGTACAAAGAACTCAAGAAGCTCACCAAGTTTGATGAGCAACGAACGGCTACTGTAAGTTTTGTGAATGGCAATGCATATGCAACTTTTAGTATGAAATACTAAGGCTATTTTCTCTTTCGAAATGGGTGCTCTGGTATAGTTGTTATTCCCTCTAGTGGTTTTAATCTGGGTATACTGAAAATAGTTGGGTTTAAAAGAAAATAATTATTTTGAAATCTTCAGGTAGGTAGAAGTTCATAGTTTCTCCCGCTGAAGCACATCACCAATAAGAGACAATGGGAGAACTTCACTGAAAAGGAGAGAGCTGTTTTGTTTAGCCCCTTTCTGAAGTTAACAGGGAGAAGATATTTCTTCAATGATACTCAGCTTTCATGGAAGAGAATGAAAGTTCAAAATAAAATGGTTATTCGTTGTATTTAAATTATGTTGAATCAATCTGGTACCCTCCAAGTGTTTTGGATTACAAGTCCATTGCCACTGGCTACTGCTTTAAGATTTTTGTGCCATGTTGTGTTTTTTCTGACTTATCATATTTTTCTGACAATAAGATGCCCCCATGTACAAGACGACCCCCACTTTTCCAGCCCAAAAT